CCACCCCCCCTCCCCCAGCCACCCTCACCCCAGGGTCTTCTAGCAGCTATTTAAGTTCGGAGTAAAAACTTAGAGGGGAAGGTGGCACTCACACAACGACTCCAGCTTTGCCTGGCAGGACTGGGCTGCCTCTGGGCTCAGGCTCGCCGTGCAGTGGAGGGATCCCAGCTCTTGCCCTCCAGAGCTCTGCACCACCGTGCACGGATGATTTCTCCGGCTCTCGGGCTTTGCAGGTATTAGCACCTGTGGTGATGGTCTAGCAAAGATCTGGTGCCTTAGCAGCGGTTTGCTGGCACCCCGAGCAGCCCTGCCCGCAGGCCCCCATACAGAGACACTAAAAGCCCCCAAGCTGGTGGGGGTTGGCGGGACTCGTGAGCGTGAGACGTGTGTGCATGCACAGAGCAGGGACCAGCACCCCAACACTCATCTGTATTCTAGGTGCCGCTGTTTCTGCCCCTGAAGGGGGGTGCCCAGCCTAACCCACTCGGGGAGGCCCCCCAGTGTGCCTTGCTTTGGGAATTTAAAACCTGTCTCTTCCAGGATATTTTATTAAGAAAGTTATACAAATGTTTAAAAATATGCTTATAATAATAAATAAAATGGAAAAGCTTTATTTAAAGCCAGAGGAGACTGTCCTTATTCCTGAACCGCCCCCCCGGGGCTGTGCTGAAGGGGTAGGGCTGGGGATCCCCACTCCCACTGTGACTGGGGGGTGTCACCTCCCGAGACCACCCAGCAGCAACACGAGCCAGGAGCCGAACGACTGAGATGATTTTATTAAAAGGGGTGTCCCGAGGAAGCAGCAAGAGGCACCCGCAGCAGCAGCTTCCCCTCGGCATGGCCACACCGACGGCTCGGGGGCTGCTCCGACCCCATCCCTGAAGCACTGCGCAGGAGGCGGGGTGGGGGCCAGCAGGACCCCCGTTGTCCCCAGAAGGCACTGTGTGAAGAGGTGCTTGGTGCAGGGCAGCTCTAGGCAGGAGGGCAGGGGTGCCTGTCCCCAACATGTCCCCTTCCCCAGCAGGTCACTGGACCATTCCCATTCCAGCCAGGATGAACCCCCCTGAGAAGTGAGGGGGGAAGGAAATGCCCAGCACCCCCCCTGCCGTCATCACCCAGCCAAAGGTCCCTGAGAGCTGGGGGCCAGCCACCAGCCGAGGAGC